GTTGGATTTGTAGGTGTTTGCAATCTTTAGATAAGCTATCTAGCTGATCTCCCGCTACCTGAAGTAGTCTCAGCCTGCTACTTCTCCGCCATCTTGACTCCTCCTCCGTGGCTCAGCTTCTTAAGAAGCTGCTTTTGGCTCAGGTCATGACCCCAGGTCCTTCGATCAAGCCCCACATTGGGCTCCCTGCTTAGTGGGGACACTGCTTCTCCCTCTCCTCCCTGCTCTTCCTGCCTCTTTCTAGCCATTGGAGTGGGTGGAGTGGTGGAGTGTTGAAAATCTCAAGCAGATTCCTTGCTGAATCTGGAGCCTAATCAGGGGCTGGATCCAACCACTCTGAGATTATGACCCGAACTCAAATCAGGAGCCAGATGCTTAACTGACTGTTGCAGGTGCCAGTGTTTTAAAGTATGTGTGTGTGTGTTTTTTTAAGATTTTATTTATTTATTTGAGAGAGAGAGAGAGAATGAGAGACAGAGAGCATGAGAGGAGAGAGGTCAGTGGGAGAAACAGACTCTCTGGCAATCAGAGCCTGATGTGGGACTTGATCCCAGACTCCAGGATCATGACCTGAGCAGAAGGCAGTTGCTTAACCAACTGAGCCACCCAGGAGCCCTAAAGTATGTGTTTTAAAGTATGCCTTGTGTACTTGTATTTTGATCTCTCCCATTTGTTTCAAGAAACCTGGCTTTCATGATGGATATGTGGCTAAGGATTGAGAAAACATAATTTGAGTGAAATCTGGGCATAAATTCTTCTTTTGAGGTTGTTACACAGCCTCTCAGGTGTGTTAAGCTTTATGGCTTGACTTTTATGGGAAGGCTGTAGCATCATGGCTGTGTGTGTGTGTGTGTGTGTGTGTGTGTGTGCGCGCGCACATGTAAGAAATAAACGCATCAGGGAATGTTTCCAAAAGATATTTCCCTGTAACTCTTGCATCAGTGTATTTCAGAAAACTAGATATAGACCCCAATGTATTCAGACTTCTCAAAGCCTTAACAAGAAACATGTGGTTCTTTTGTAGATTGGTGGAAGGAAAAGTTCCTGACTTGTGACTTACTTTGAGTTCTTTCTGGGTCCTCCTACTGCTGCTCCAGGGTGGCTGACCTCTCCTCAGCTTGCTGTGGTGACACAGATGTTGGCCCCATCAGTGGTGGTGGGTTTAGATGGGGTGGTGAAAATCATATAGGTGGGTTGGTGGGTGTGGATGATATTGGATGTTAAGAGATACCGTTCAGTTTGGAGTCCAGTCTTGTCCTCCTGGATCAGTCTTTAGTTACTTCTCCTTGTGGTGAGGTGTGTACTTGAATCACAAGATTCTAATCTCAGGACGCTTAACCCTGCCCACATACATCTAGTAGTCTGGTGGTGGGGGTGGTTAATGTGTGCCTTGTTATAGGGCAAGGGAGACCTCAAATGATTGGCAATTGTCTCTGCAGTGTCTGTCACTCTGGATCCAGGGTCTGCAGATCCAAACCTTGCTGTTTCTAATGAAAAGTCTTGTGTGACCTGGAAGGATACAACTAAGGACCCAGGAAAACACTGTAGCATCTTAAGTCATGAAGGCATCACATCAGGGCGCTGTGTCTGGGTGGTGGATATCAGGAATGGAGACAGAAGTGAATGGTCTCTGGGTGTCTGTAGAAGAGATGTAGAGAGGACATACTGGTACCAAGAGTGCCCAGAAGGGGGGTTCTGGGCTGTGGGAGTATATTTGCAAAATTACTGTGCATATTCCAACTTTGTGATTCTGCTATTCTGTAGACAAGTTCCTCACATAGTGGGGGTTTTCCTGGATGTTGAGGAGGAGATGTCTCCTTCTACAATATGACTGATGACTCCCATACATTCTTCTTCCCTCTAGCTTCCTCCTCTGGGACTCTGTTTCCATACTGGATGTTGAAGTCAGGAGACATGTCCCTCACCATCTGCTCTGTGGTGGCTGGGCCTGCAGATACCCCTGTGCCCCTTCCTTCTCCTTTGGAGGATCCTATGAGCCTCTCAGGGCAAGGGCTCAGGTCAGGCTCTGATGTTTATGGTGCTCTTCCAGGGGCTGAATCTCCATTACTCCCCTGCAGCCCTGAAGTTATGTTACCGTAGGACCCCAACACTGTCCCAGATTCCTCATGGTGGCTCTTTCTGGAGTTGCAGACACCCTGGGTCAAAGCTTCTGGGTAGGTCCTGGGTGACCTGGTGTCTTGCTCTCCTGGTTATGAGAATAGTCAGTTCACACCTTATGCTCATGTATGAGAAGTTAAAAGTTAACTGTTGTTTGTGCTGATTTGGAGTACGTTGAATTTTCCTATTGGAAGTCATATTTGTTTCGGTAATAAAAATTATTTCATGGAGTCTTTATATTGTTTCTATATGAAAGGAGGTGAAGGCTGAATGACTGCAGAATTACATGGTGTTTGTTTTATCTAGCTTGAGTTGTGCAGATGAACCCAGAGGCAACAGGTGGGTTATCAGCTCTATTTTGGAAAATCTACACTCTGGCCAGAGACATTGGCCATCCAAAAATTTCTGGAGAAATGGATGGGTGATGACTTTAAGAACAGATAATCTAATATTTTATTGTATAAACTTCCTATTCTGAAATAGATGAGAGACACTTATCATATCTTAGTAAATTTTTGTTACTTTGAAAAACTGGTGCTGTGTTAAATCAAGGAATGAAGGATGAGGATCTGGGTTTCCCTTTTGTGTCAACACCAGTTGGAAAGAACAGAACTGCTACCAGAATAAAGTGTTCATGGTGAAGAGAATTTTCAGATGCCAGGTAAACTGAAGAAAGCATTGATCATGAGCACGGTTCCAGGATCTATATACTGCCTCTCAGTACTTCCAATCCAATGATAAAGGTATCAACTACACATGTATAAGGAAGCCAGACTACTTAGGACTCAGCCTTTCTCACACAAAGGTGTATTTACTCCACAGGTAGAGAATTCTGATCTGCTATCCTTCTGGGAGAGATGAGAAGACACAGAATTATAAATGGAAGAAGGAAGTCACAGATATCATTTTCTGCCTGTGACCCATGAAAAGGCTGTAGTAAGGACTGTATATTTTTTTCTTTCTTGTCATAAGATGTGTTTATTTGTATTTATGATCATTTTCTTCCTCTCTCTTCTTACCCTTATGATTTTATTCAAGTTGTTGATGGATATATTTAAAACAGAGCCTCTACAGGAAACCATCAAAATTCTATAGGAGAACACAGGCAGAAGACTCTTTGATCATCTCCAGTGGCAAGGAGTACAAAAGCAAAAATGAGCTGTTGGGACTTCACCCAGATAAAAAGTTTGTCACAGCAAAGGAAACCATCAACAAAGCTAAAAAACAGAATGGGAGAAGCTATTTGGAAATGATAAACTTGCTAACAGGTTTTATCCAGAATCTGTAAAGAAGATATTAAACACAACAAATATGAACTAAATAATCCAGTTAAGAAATGGTTAGAAGACACGAATAGGCACTTTTTTCAAAGACATCCAGATGGCTAACAGACACAAGAAAAGGTGCTCAACATCATTCACATGAGGAAATACAAATCAAAACCACAACTAGATACCACCCCGATAGTTCAGAATGGCCGAAATTCATGACACAAGAGACAATAGGTATTGGCAATGATGCGCAGGAAGGGGAATCCTCTTTCATTGTTGGTGGGAATGAAAAATGGTGCAGCCACTCTGGAGAAAAGTATGGTAGTTCCAAAAAACCTAAAAATGGATCTACCACAAGATCTAGCTATTACACAACTAGGTATTTAGCCAAACTATGGAAAGAGCCCAAATGCCTGTTGACTGTTGGGTAGAAAAGAAGGTGTGGTATATATATAAGGGTAAACATGATGAAGGGATGGGATATGACCATAAGGACGAAATTTAAAAAAAAAAATTTCTAAAAAAGGAATTGATAAGATATTGATTGGGAGAATAAAGAATAAGAAAGTGGAGAGTATTTGCTAGGCTGGAGACTAGAACAAAGCCCTGTGCTAGATTTAGGGTATATTTTGATCTACTAGAAGAAGTTGTATCCCATTTTTTTTTTTTTAGAAGAGAAAACCCTATGTGTATACAAAAAATAAAGTTAGATACAATCAAGGATAAAATATGAGTATAATAATGAAGGTTCAAAAAATATTTTTATGTAAGGTATTGTTAAGATAAACTAGTTAAAAAACATTAAAAGAGGAAAGAGTAAACGTTTAAAAAATTAGCATAAGAAAAAAATTAAAAAAAATAATTAACTTTGCAAGTCTAAAGAATCATGGGGAGAAAGCCATGAGTTCCATACTTTGCTTTCTCCTCCCCTGGAATTCCTTTGTTTTCCTTGGTAAGTGAACTTGGTCTTGGCTGGATTTCTTGTTTATCTTCTCTGGGAAGACCCTGTTGTAGTGATTCTCAAGTGTCTTTGCCTGAGGCGGAATTGTCCCACCCTTACCAGGGGCCAGGCTAAGTAATCTGCTCAGGTTCGCTTTTGGGAACTTTTGTTCCCTGCATGCTTTCCATAGAGTTCCAGAGGACAGGAATGAAAATGAAGGACTCCCAATCTCTGGCCCAGAGGATCCAAGAGCTCAGGGCCCCACTCCTCAGTGTGCCCTCAGAGAAAAGCGCTCAATCACTCCCATCTCCCTGGCCTCCAGCTGCACTCCGAGCTCATCCAGCATGTGACCAAGCATCTCTGTCTCTGGGAAACAGCCCTGCCTGGAGTCTCCAAACCCTGCAGATCCCTGCGCTCTTCCAGGGTGGTCTCCCTGGATCTTGTGGGGTCCCTGCTCACAGAGAAGTGGCCTGTGCCATGGATCACAATTTAAGGTACCCTGAGTTGAGAGCTTACTCCTCAACTCCGTCTCTATAGCCAGCTTCCCCGCTCTAATACCTGTGAGCTCTGCAACACTCAGACACCCTTGATCCTTCTGTGACCCCACGGGACCTGAGACCATGCTGTCCCTGCGTGGGCTTCACTCCGGCTTAGCCTCTGGAATGATGTCCCTCAGTGGAGCAGACTTTTAAAAGTTCTGATTTTGTGCTCCGTTGCTCTGCCACTTGCAGGGAGCCAGCCCCACCCACCGCAGTCTATCTTCCCATCGGTTTGGATTCATTTCTCCACTGGTCCTACCTTTCAGAAAGCGGTCGCTTTTCTGTTTCTAGAATTGCTGCTCTAATTCTCTTTGATCTCCTTTTGGATTTGTAGGTGTTCAGAATGGTTTGATAAGCTACATAGCTGATCTCCTGCTACCTGATGTCATCTCAGCCTGCTACTTCTCTGCCATCTTGACTCCTCCCCCATTTATTTCTTTGACAGAGAGAGAGCACACAACCAGGTAGAAGGAGAAGGAGAAGCAGATTCCCCACTGAGCAGAGAGCCTGATGTTGAGGTTGATCCCAGGGCCTTGGGATCATGACCTGAGCCAAAGGCAGATGCTTAACCAACTGAGCCATCCAGGCACCCAAAAATTTCCTGAGGATTTTATCAAACTTCTCAAAGGCTTGAGTCATAAATGAAATCTTCTTGACTAATTAGGCTTGCTTATATGGTATGTTAAGTTATTTGGGAAGGATTGTCAAACAAATAATGGTAAGCTTTGCCTTATGTTGTATGGGTAAATGCTATAATAGTTCTAGAAATTATATGAAATTCCAAAAGTTTTATTATATTCTGGTATAAGGTCATCACTTCACATTCTAATTATTAAAGTATCATGTGTCATAACAATAACCAAATTTTTTGATCAGCTATATTATAATGAACTATCATACCAGATCTTTAAACATGTTCATTTTTAAGTTTATCCTTTTATAGTTATCATTCTGATGTTCTTGCAGAACATATTTTGTCCTCAAGGAGATTCCTGAAGAGGACTTTTAACAAACATATGATGTTTTGGGGTGCTTGGGTGGCTCAGTTGGTTAAGCTTTGCCTTTCAGCTCAGATCATGATCCCAGGGTCCTGGGATTGAGCCCTGAGTCACATTGCATTGGGCTTCTTGCTCAGTGGGGAGTCTGCTTATCCCTCTCCCTCTTCTGCCCTCCCTGTTTGTGTTCTCTCTCACTCTTGCTCTCTCAAATAAATAATATATTTTTTAAATGATGTTTTGATATCTTTAAAACCATAAAACTAAAATTGGTAAGAATTTCTGGAAGGAAAAAGCTGCATTCAAACTGAAGAATAAGTAATGTCACCACTTAGACCCTCCGACCTGGCCTTTGCTACCCATTTGCTCATACTCACTGACCTTTTTTTACATTTTTCCCTAAGCTCTTCTTTCCAGTTTTTCCATTAACTCAAATGAAACCTGAAACCACCTTCAGGTAATGGTGACTCTCCTGACAAGCCTGCCCTGACAAGACCTCTCATGGGCCCAGATCACCTAGACTTTTTGAGCTAAATATGACTCATCCTATGCAGATGGACCATGGAGTGAACTTTGGAATGACCTACAATAACCTTTACCTCTTTATTATACTAAAATATCTACCCAAGGCAAGGCCTCAGCCTCATTTACATAACATATAATGTATGTATGGGCAGGTTTCCTTAAGGAGCATGTGTGACTTTATGCCTGCCTATACATAGGATGACAATGCTTCCCTATCTAAATATTCATCCTAATCTTAAACAAAAGGAACGCATTTGGACCTCTCTGATGTAGTCATGGCTTTGGAAGCCATTCCCTGTGATCTCCTTATTTTCTACAAATAAAAGTTTTCTTTGTGAGAAAACTCAACCTGGTACAGTTTCTGACTCATCAAGGAGTAAATTCATGTTGGTTCAATTACAGTAACATCGACTAAATGAATTGAGGAAGATGATTATAGTTTTTGTGATGCTTGTTTGAAATATTTTGGGTTCTCTAATGTTTGTTCAACCAGAGTAAGGAAACTTTCTTTATTTGAGAGTGAGAGAATGAGCACATGAGTGGAGTGAAGGGGCAGAGGGAGAGGAAGATGCAGACTCTCCACTGAGCCAGAAGCCCAACATGGAGCACAATTCCAGGACTCCAGGATCATGACCTGAGCTGAAGGCAGAAGCTTATCTGATTGAGCTACCCAGGAGCCCCAGGAAACTTTCCCTTAAGATATCCATGATTA